CACCCTATACCCCATCCTTCCTACACTCACTCCACAACCCACTCCACAACCCACCCACTCACTCCACAACCCATCCACTCACTGCACAACCCACCCACTCAAGTCATTCATGCAGTGACTGTCCATTACCTTTTCATAATTATAAGTATCTAACATTCCCAGAATTAATTCCTTCATATCACCAAATTTACCACTACTGTAGGTAGGGTCCTGAATAGAAATGAAAAACACAATTCAGTTATTATTAGGAAAACAAAAATATTTAATTAATACAACATTTCCCCATCATATGTAGACTTACTATTTATCACATCAGATTGTTAAAGAGAGAGTTGTCAATATTGACAATTGCGCCAAGGAATCATGGGACACCCTTGTTTAATCTTGCTTTTGTTCCCATTATAAACCAGCAGTTAATTCACTATGAAATTAGACCTATTAACTGAAATTGACCCTTTAACACATTCAGAGTCTTATCAATTGTCCGCAGTCTATAACAATGAGTGAAATATGCATGGTCTGCAATAACACATAGACAGTCATAGTGCTATATGCTACATGTATATAAATCAAAAATAATAGTCACATGTACAGTGAATTTCATGAAGTCAGAAAAGTTTCATTCATTGGTTAAGAATGACATTTGGTAATGTCAATTACCCATGAATCTTTGCAGGTTACAATCAGTGGCCGATACATGCATCCATTAACACACAATGAAATTAAAAACAAGCAGCCTCTCAGCTGAGATAGTTCCACTGTTAGCAATGAACATTTCTGAACTGAAGATATCATTAGAAGACGAACAAATCTTAGAGAAGTCTACCTGAGGTACCTATATATAAGTGGACCTGTGGTTGTTAACAAGAAGTCCAATATATCACTTTTTACCAAAAATGACAAAAATATTCATTAAAATTAGAAAATTGAAGATATCATCACGAAATGAACAAATTTGAAAGCGGTCCACATGTAGCATCCATATATATAGTATCAAAGCAAGCGGACTTGCAGTTTTTAACAAAAAGCCGAAAATATCACTTTTTACCAAAAATTACAAAAATATTCACCAAAATTAGAGAATTGAAGATATCATCATGAAATGAACAAATCTTAGAGAGGTCTACCCACGGTACATATACACCAAGTGTCAAAGCATTCAGGCTTGTAGTTTTCTAGAAGAAGTCGAAAAAGTAAAACATTGACACGGACGCTGATGATGGACACTGACGGTCAATCACTCATATCATAAGCTCCTCTTGACAAAGTCGACAGCGGAGCTAAAAAATGCTCATGCCTTCATGAAATGTCCTGTAATATATACATAATTGTATATATATGTATGCGAGTCAGTATTGAGCAAGTAAAGATAGACTTACCTGCATTGTTTTCTGTAGAATAGCTGGGAGAGCTATGTATCCCATCATGCTGTTCAGTACATGCTTTGTCAACTCTTTGAATTCTGAGAAAATTAAGAGAAACTTTCACAATGAATTTAAGTTTATTATATGAA